CCTCTGTGAATATATATTTGGGGTCACACCATCCGTAGCCATAGATTTTACCAGCTGCAAGATGGGAATATCACTGTTCTTCCTTACAACATTTTGAAAAGCTGAGCTGTCACAAAAAGCACTGCATAAGCACTGACAAAGTGCATCGAATCCACACGTGTTCCACACAGAGAGTGTTGAGTTTTCAAATGTACAAGGTTTAAGCCGGTTTCCGTTTTTTATTAGTCCCTCTTTGACTGTTTTTGCCCCAATGATGGCTCTGCATGAAGCCGTTGTGTGCAGGGAGGCAGATGAGAAGTTTTCTCCATTTTTTCTGGCTTTAAGAATTGGTTCCCTGCTGTTTTCAGCCAATCCTTTAACTGTTGGATGATTGTTTTTAATTTGTTCCTGTTTTCTTGTATCTTTTGAATGAACTTCCAGACCTGATTTCTGATGGCTCTTTTCTGATACATTTTTCTCACTTTCTGAGACCTTTAGCACATCTAATGTGGTGTATGAAACTCTTTCACAGAATTCAAGATGTTGAATGAGGTGTCTCCATTTGGCTTTGTCACCCTTTGATGTAGTAGTTGCATGAACCTTTTCTATTTTATCTACTTTTTCCTTATTAATGTCAGCGGATATACTTGGAAGCTTCTCCTTTGGTTCAGGCTCATGTTTTCCTGGTTCCTGCTGGGTTTTCAAGTCTTGAGTGGATGAAATCTCCTTTTTTACCTAATATTTCACACCAGGAAGTTGAAAATTTGTTGTCGATCTTTTTTCAGTTTCTGAGACGTCTGGCACATCTAATGACGACGGTGAATCCTTTGCAATACATTTATCTGGAACAAGATATTCAGAAAAGTGTTTGAATGCAGCAGATGCAGGAAACTTTTCTTTTTTTTGTATATTGTTCTCGTCAGTGATAGCAAAATATCTTTCTGCTCACATTTGTCATATTTTTCATCATTTTTAAGGCATTTACCTGTGGAAAGATTTCTGGTCAAGCGCTGGGGTGTTGTATCCTTCGATTCTGTAGCAAGCTCATCTTTGTTTTCATCTACTGTTTTTTCCAGGTTTGGTTTTTGATAAATCGAACCTGCTGTGTATAACGCTGCATTCACGCTGGCGGTAATGACACCCGGTTACGGCGATTGGAGGTCACTAAAATTAGTCTTGCTTCGGTGTGTAAGTTTGCCAAAACAATGTCGGACTCCATAATTTTCTCTGGTCCCCTCCCTGATCTGACCAGTGATGACATGTTTAGCCGCATGTTGTCAATCAACCGCTAGTTGTCTAGGTGGTGTCCTGAAAAAAACGTGGGCTACATTAATAATTGGCAATCCTTTTGGGGAAAGCCTGGTCTGATTCAGAGAGACGGCATCCATCCCACTTTGGATGGTGCAGCTCTTCTTTCTAGGAATCTGGCCACATTTATTAGTCCTCCAAAACCCTGACCACCCAGGGTTTTGGAGGACTA